TCCGACTGAATTTTTTTTCTGTCAAAGTTTATTTCAATAAATGGATTATCCGACAGGAATTTGATTCTGCCTTTTTTATAATAGTGTTATTTGTTTATTAATCAGTATCTTCTCAAATAAAAGAATACATAAAACATTTCAATCTTCAGTTATCTGATTGGCTTATAAAGTATTGTTTTAATTACGTACAGGTTACGGAGTTAAAATGTGGAGGCATAGTGATAGGGTGCCTTTTTGATCATAGGATAGCGGATGGGTACTCGGCTGACATGTTTATCTCATCATGGGCAAACATAACTCGTACAGGAACTGATCTGTCTATGTTTCCCTCCTTTGAAAGATCCTACTTCAATCCGAGGTGTCCACCCATTTATTCCACATCAATCGACAATATGTTTGCTCCCTTTTTACCACCATCCAAGACTACAAATGATCAAAATGACGATAATGGAGACCATTCACTCGTTAATCGCACATTTTATGTTGAGGGTGAGCAAATTAAAAGGCTACAACTGTTGGCAAGTGAGAATGGGTGCATGAGGTCAAAGGTAGAGGCATTTACCTCCTTCTTGTGGAAGAAAATTGCACTGAGCATGGAAGACTCCGGGAAGCACAACAGAGTGTGCAACGTGGCTGTTGCAGTCAATGGAAGGAGAAGATTGAGTGAGGGAGATGGAGAAGAGAAAGAAAAACTGATGGCTTCATACTTTGGCAATGTTATATCAATGCCTTATGGGTCGAAAACAGCACAGGTAATAAATTTATACAAGTGTCGCCACTAAATATACATTTTGTTCTTCATTTCTAATCAAACGTAACAACCTATATATTCCTGTAACTTGCAAACCATTTTGTTAATTTTGTATCTTTTATAACTATAAGTTATGAATACTATTACATATTGTAATATTGTAATTCTAACTTGGTGTTTTTGACAAGTTAGGAGTTAAGGGGGATGTCATTGGCTAATGTTGCTACAGAGGTCCATGAATTCTTGCAGATTGCAACTAATAAAGAACATTTCCTGGAGCTGATAGATTGGGTGGAAGAAAAACGGCCACAACCACTGACATCAAAGGCATTTGCTGGTGAAGAAATGGCGGTGATGGTGTCAGCAGGACAAAGGTTTCACACCATGGACGGAACAGATTTCGGGTGGGGTAAGGTGGCTTTTGGATCATGCTATGTACCATCTGAAAGCTCGGACTTTTTGGTGATGATAATGCCTGGACCAGTCAACGACGAGGATTGGATTGTCTACATGCATTTGCCACTGAAACACATAAACTACATCGAGGTAGATGCTAGTGACGTGTTGAAGCCATTGAACGTTGATTATCTCAAGCTTTAACTCAAGTTACATAATTCACTGGGATTGTGATGGATTGATGTTTTAGTTTGGAAAAACTACTTTATTCATACCTCCTAAATTGACGTTGCAAACGTTAAGTATGTTGTGTTTGCTTGTGTGGTTTGGATTTGATCTCAATAATTTGAAAGTGTGTATTTGAATCTTATACTTATTTCAAAAGTAGTGTGTTGTATAATATGACACTACAAAAAATCAACCCTAGTACAACCACAACATTAATGTCGTCCTTAAAGGTACACAAGTCAGCGCTTAGATATCCAATGATGGCAAGTGGTCACTAAAAGTTTCGCACTATCATTTTAGAATGTCGTCTATAGATCGGCCTCTCCAGACATCTCGTCGCAGAATCCGGCTCGCTTTAAACATTAAAACTAAAAGAAAAAAAAGCGACAACATTAAACATTTCCTTGTTTAAGACTTGAAGCAATTTTCCATTTGATTTCTAAATGCCTAAGAGGAAATCGCAATAGGCATTAGCAAATTAAATAGAAATTAAATATATATGCACCAAAAATATTCGTTACTAACTTCTTATTGTAGCGAAATGGAAAATACATACATCAAAAATTTGTAGTTACTAACTTATTAGTATAAGCTTTGATCAGTTTTGAGTTTCTTTTTTTTATCTGTTTTTTATTTATATCAAACATATTAAACTAAATTCAAATATCCATATATAATACACATATATTCAAATTTACTGGAAATTGTTTAATGCTTTTAATTTGAAAACAATAATAATGTCAAAGTCTCGTAAAAGTCAAACAAAAAAGTAATGGATCAATGAAGGTAAAATAACAATCATAATTATTACATCGTAAGACTCGAATCGGTACAAAAACATACGATATATATATATATATATATATATATATATATATATATATATATATATATATATATATATATATATATATATATATATATATATATATATATATATAGGCTTAGGTTATTTTGTTTTACTGAGTATTGTGTGACAAAATGTATAATATATATATATATATATATATATATATATATATATATATATATATATATATATATATATATATATATATATAGGCTTAGGTTATTTTGTTTTTACTGAGTATTGTGTGACAAAATGCACAAATCTGAACCAATGGATGAAATTAATCAATGAACATGATTTGAGGGTGTATGATATTACAATGGGGTAACATGTAGCATATAATCACACAATTTTAAGCAAAAGGGTATTTTAGACAATTAACTACATTTATAAAAGGAAATTTTCGGATTTTTAGGGATGATTAATTTTCCTAATTTAAAAAAAAATCTGAATTTTTTAATTAATTCAATTTCAAATTTTTACCGATTTTATTCTGTCAAAATATTATTTGTTAGAATGATGCTCTTTCAGAATTTTATTCTAATAGAATATTATTTTGTTAGAATGATGCTCTTTCAGAATTTTATTCTAATATAATATTATTGAAGAAAAACAAAATTTTTGAATCGAATGTTGAAAAATAACAACATTCTAATATATTCTTATACATCCAAACTTAAATACAAATTCATACATATTCTTACAGACTAAAATCTTTATACATTTTAATATAATTATACATATTCTAAAAGAATATCAAGGTCTTCAACGCCTTCTTCCAGTCATTCCTATCACAAATACAACAAAAACTAATAATTGTTAAAAAAAACATGTTACTTACAATTAACTATCACTTAATATATTCTGATAGAATACATAGAATATGATATAATGCTTATAATACATTCTGACAGAATACATCGATTTTATTATGATAGAATAAATTCTGATAGAATATATAGAATACATTCAAAGGTATTGTATTTACAGCTAGTAATTCCGACAGAATGCATACCACAAGGTTAAATTCTTTAAATACTCTTCAGACATTTCAACAAACACTTGTTAGACATTATCATCGAACAAGCCAAAAACCATATTTGATTTACTTGCAATAGTTTACATATAAACATAATTTCCAGCAACATGATTTAGAATGTATACCACAAGGTTCAAAGAGTAAATTAATTTGTGTTGATGAAAAATAAAAAGGCACAAACAACCTAGAATTGTATTCCATAACCGAAAGAAAAACAAAATATATGGCAGACCCATTAAAGCATAGAAACATGGTTTTCATATAAGATTTGAAAACATTATTTTGTAAGAAAGAAGAGCATCCACATAAAAGAAATTGAAACTCATCAACTTGAACACATGAATAAAGAATGTTACTTACATTATAAGGCCCTGATACAAGAGTTGGAACCATACGAACTAACATCTTTTTCTATGCTTCCTTCTAACTAAAAGTGACTCATTAAGCAAGAAAGAACAAATTTTGGAATAAGTAACTGAAGTTCACTGAGACATTTTAACAAACAATTGGTGTGCAAATCGGAATATTTTCAATTCCACCAACAGTTCACTAAGACAGCAAGTTGGAATATTTTCAATTCTACATAACTAAAGAACTTACTATCTAAATATGACATTTTTTTAACAAAAAAGAAAAGTTACCCGGATCTGATCGATGGTGTGTGCCATGTGTCTCGTTACTAATCTTTGTAGAAAAATCAATCATATGCCGTGAAGATGATGACTGTGTTGCATGTAGTATATGAAGATGATGAAGAAAATGTCGACGACGGCATAGGGTTAATTATTTGGAGACTTGAAAATGATAAGGTTTATAAAAAAAACTGCACACGTGATTTAAGGGACCACCATTCGACTTCCCTGAATTGTTTGATGCCTTCTCGATTTGATGAAGACGATGATGAGGACCAAAGTCCCTTTCTCAGCCCACCCTACAAATCTATTTGACCCTCACTAGTGCCCTTGATTTTTGACTGCTCCCATTCGATCGTTCCTTATTCTCGATCTGTTGAAGAAGACGCGTCCCCTCTTTGTGCATTTAGGGTTGTGGATATGATGATTTTAAATAAGCAAAACAGTAGTAGACGTGATTTAAGGGATATACCAAATATATAAGAATTTATTTTTAGTTTATAAAAACAAAATGACCCATCTACCCTTTTTTTACATTAATGATTTATTTATTTTTCTTGAATTCTTATTGGTGCATTTAGGCACACAATAGTTGCTAAAAACATTTGAACCTAATTCTATATATATATATATATATATATATATATATATATATATATATATATATATATATATATATATATATATATATATAGAGAGAGAGAGAGAGAGAGAGAAAGAAAGAAAGAGAGAGGGAGACAAGGTTCAAGTATTCTAACTAATTATTGTGTGGATGTAGGAATAATATGGACCAATCAAAATTGAATAAATAAATAATAGTAATTTAGTAATTTGATTAATAACTTCTACAAATACTTCTTCCTATAATCATGGTATTGATAGGTTGGCTTTTAACCTAATTTTTCCCCATCTATATCTACAGCCGTTTTCTCTTTTTCCAAATACCAAATATAGGTCGCATACCACAATCACCGATCCGGCAACGACCACAAACACCGATCAACTTATGTGCGCCATATCTCATCAACATAATCTTATCAATCTAACCCTAATCGCCATCTACCCTTGGGTGGACTGGTGAACGAAGGTGATGAGAGGGAAAATATGAAGGCTTCGCAGGCGACATTCGCCGATCACATGGCAAGCGAAGGTCGTCGTGTCCGGGGTCGGCGAATTAGAAGCAACCAAGCTTCTCTGTTCATGTCCGGTGGCGAGGAGCAAGTTCCTGGCGTCACCAGTAGCGAAAACTTCGAACCAGTTGAGGTTTCCGAAGGTTCTGTTCGATGAACGGGGAAGAGGAAGGTACGAGAGTTTCAGTTAGTGGGAAGGAGGCACGAAAGCGGAATGGTTCAAAGGGTTCCGAAGGCGGCTTGAGGTGCGAACGAAGGAATGGTTCGATGGGGAAAATCAATCGACGAGGTCGAGACCTTCGGGGGTCTATAGCAATGTGAACAATAGAGAAAGAAACAAGGGGTTGAAGATTACGTGTTCGGCTCCAGTAAGCTTCTTACTTCATCTTTTCTTTATCTTTGAGATTAGCAGCAAGCGAAGTGTTTTATGTGTCTTACTCCACGAAAACAGCCTCTCTACTAGGGTCGTTTCACTCTTCGATGACATCAAGAAAATCAAAGGAAAGAGGGGTGTTTGGGGTCTATTCATCTTACCAAAAGTGTAACATCCGCAGATTCAGGCTAGTCAATTTAGAGGCAATAGGGGTCGAAAATGACTTTTCGACAAAATATTATTTAGAATAAATAACCTTAACCAAGTTTTAGAATATGTCACAAGGTTTACGTACATATAAAGAACGTCGAAATCCGAGTTATAACGAAGAAGTTATGGCCCGTCGAAGTTTCGCGGCGGAACCAACACGGCACCTGGAAGCGTAAATAGTGAATTTACATATAAAGAACGTCGAAATCCGAGTTATAACGAAGAAGTTATGGCCCGTCGAAGTTTCGCGGCGGAACCGGCACGGCACCTGGAAGCGTAAATAGTGAATTTACGATGGAGGACTTTTTAGCCTTAGTGATCTAAATGAAATCCGTAGAGTATGTTAAACTAAGAGCGTCAATAAAAAGAACGCCCAAATCTGACTTCGTATGAGGAAGTTATGATTTTTCTAAGATTCGGCTTAGCAGTGTACAACTCGAAACTCGAATTTTAGTTCGAGCGGTTTTTGGCTTACGCAACCTAAATGAGAGTTGAAGATCTCATTAATAGGAACTCAACAGTAAAAAGACAAACTAAAACGGAGTCCGTATGAAGGAGTTATGAATTCTTCGCGGTCATTTAACAGTCTAAACGCCTCCTACTGTTAAATTTGAGACGGTCGAGAATTAGCCGACGGAGTCTAAACAAAAGTTGTAGATCTTGATTTTACCTACGCGTTGAAAAAAAGAACGTCGAAAACGGAGCTTGTATGCGAAAGTTATGATTTTTCTAAGTTTGAAGGCTTATACGCGATAGGGGGTGACGTAGCACCACCAGAATTGGACACGTGGCACCACCAGAAGGTTGCCACATGCACCAACTCGGCGAGTCATGACTCAGACTCGGCGAGTCCATCAGATTTCTCCACTATAAATAGAGGTGTCGGGTTCCATTCATTCTCACACCTTCAAGCCCTTCTTTCTCTCTCTAAACTCTCTCTCTAAGCCTCCCTAACCCCCCAAAGCCTAGGGTAACTCCCTAGCACGAGGCGGAAGCCCCGGAGCGCCCGACGGCTCCGAGAAAAGAGCCTTTCGGCTTGAAAAACGCTGCTCCAGCGAAGCCCGGTTTTTACGAAAAACCCGCTGTAAGTGAGCTACGACTACGCTAATTTTAATATAGCTTCTAATTAATTATAGTAACATTATTAGGACCTTAAAATAATTATTTGGGCTATTATTATGAGTTATATTGAGTGTTATTTAACGCTTATATAATAATAATAATAGTCAGACTATTAATTTGTCGCGGATATCGATAGACTAAACCCTAGTGGTGTTGATACTAGGTTTTATCGAAGGAAAATTGTTTTGAGAGTATCGAAGCGTTGTCCGAGTGTTGAGTCACCACCTATCAGGTGAGTGCATGGTCCCTTTCATCTTACACATAGATATGAAGTATTTTATTATAGATTACGTGCTATGTGTGCATATTGTCTGAATACTTGTTGTCTATGCTGATGAAAGATTTTATACATGTTTTAAATGATTTAAACTGTATATGTATTTTATATTTACAATAATGTTGGGGTATAACATGGGTAGCTGGAGTATGAGTTGGCTGATGAGTTGAGAGGTGAAATAGACCGTGAGGTGAGGATGAGAGGTGGACGATGTGAGAAGCCTTTCTCCCAAATGATAGCCCCGTCATTCAGCAGAGTATGGATGACAACCACGGACTGTTGGGGTGCAAAGTTTTTCATTCATGACTTTGTAAATGTTTGACTTTTGTAAAACCCACTTGCATGTGGTGCTTTAGCCTTTAGACCCATTAGTTAGTTAGAGTGAGAGAGAGACATGTAAACACCTCTATATAAGGTGGGTTTGTCCACTTGTAGAGGTGTGCTTTGAGAGATGTAAAAGTGAGTGTATAAGTGTGTGTTAATTATGTAGTCTAGATCTAGATCCTTTTTGTGTAACACCATATACATTCAATATATCTCTTAAACACCCAAATCACCAAGTTCAATTGTGCAAGCTTTAATTCCGCATGCCAAACCATGTTCTTATGTCACTACAATTGGTATCAGAGCTTGGTTTTCACGATCAACGTGACTTTTGAAGAACGATTATCGCTTTGGCAAATTTTGTCGCAATTTGATCAATTTTGGTGAATCTCTCTCTATGATCTCTCGTAATATTTGGATTTGTGCTTTGCGTTCTTGATTTTTGATCGTTTTGATTCATTGGATCTAATTCGTTTCAAACCTCATTGTTGATCCAATCAATTTTTTTTAAGATCAAATCCAACCAAAAGCAAAATCTAAATTCGAATATTGGTAGTGTTCAAATTTATTGAGCCAAATCAATTTCATATTCCAATTAACATTCGGTTAATCGTTTTGAATCCCAAAAGTTAAATTCGTTACTATTCATCTATACACTTTGAAGCCCAAATCAGTGATAGTTCATTAATTGTTGATTCGTAACCCAATATTTGATCCATTACTGTTCATTTGATATGAGTTGAAATCTTGAGCCCATTCAAAATTCTTATTTGATCAAAATTTGTTTACATCGTATGACAAATTAGTCTCATTCCAGATCTAAGTTTGCACGCATCAAATAGTTGTACCTTTGAACTCACACGATTCAGTTCTGGATTCTTAATCATCTGCAATTAATCATATCTTCATCTTCGTTTCTTTAAATATTAACTTCGATTGGAATTGATTGTTGAGTCATTTTTGTAAATCGATTTCATCGCTTCGATTTTATAATCGCTTTTGTTCAAGTCTCAGTCGGATAATTGAAAATTAATTCTTTGATCTTATCGATTTTGGTCAAGAATTCATGAAAGAGGCCTAGAACTTGTGATAAAATACGTTTTTGATCTGAAATTTGGTATTGGATACTTCAATTTCGTGTTTCTTGCAATTTGATTTCGACAAGTCAATTTTATAAAAAGTCAAACTCGATTTCTATTGTTTGAATCGTTGAATTGGAAGTTGAAATCGGTTGATACAAGTTGAACATGGGTTGTGGATGTCCAAATACTATTTGATTTGGTGTTTAATTTCGAACTTGATTTGGATCTATGTTTTGATGACGAACACTGTGTGTTAGTTCACGTTTGGCAATTGTATGAGATTTGGAAACCGATTGTACGAAGATTGAATGGTTTTACGATCGAATGGGTTTGATGAGTGATTAGATTTGATTTCTCATTTGGTGAATGAAATGTGAATGATGAAAATTTTGTGGTTAATGGTCAAACAAGTTTCGCATGTGAACTGGATGATTGGGTTAACGAATCGTTGATGTCGATTTTGAGTTGGTTGATTGTTTCTGGGAAGCGAAGTTCGTGAGATTGAATTCACGTTTGGTTTATTGATTTGGTTCATTCAGTTCGCAAGAATTGATTTGCGTGAGTTCGTTTGATGTGGATTGAAATAATGAACGAACAGATTGATTTTTCCATTCGCATCTTGGTCTCAATTATTTTCGCATATGAGATCAAAATAAATTGAGTTCGCATCTGGGTTTCAAAACTAATTTCGCATTTGGATTAATTGGATTAAGAATGCGAATGTGATTAAGGTTGAAATTCAGTTCGCATTTGGTTGATTGGGGTTAAAAATGCGAAGTCACATGTGAAGAGTGAATATGCGAAGCACTCGTTCAATGAAGAAGAAAACAAAAGTTTCGCATTTGGTCCTGTTCTTTTCAAGAAATAACTCAAATAGCCCAACTTCGCAAGTTTGAAGAACATGCAGAAATTGTAAAAACGAATACCTGTAGTTTCGCATTTTTGACAGTTTATACCCAACTTCGCAACTGGGGTCATAAAATGATGAAATTGCAGATTTTTCAAATCTGATCCCTGCAGTTTATGCGAATTTACACATTTTACCCAGTTTCGCAAAAGGGAGTGTGTTTCGCATATTTGGCTGTTTTTGGCGCAACGGGTCACTGCAGAATTTTGAAATTGACAATTTCTACCTATTTTTGAGAAATTTTGTCAAAGGCAATCCGTGAACGGAAATAAAAATTGAATATTTTTTGGGTTTTCCGGATTGAAGTACAAAGTTTATGCCACATGTTAAGGGGGAGTTTTGACATGAAAAATTCCGAATAGAGCACATTCTTTTTCCATTGAGTTTTATGATCAAATTTCGATTATAAAAAGGGGGAGAAGTTTTATATGGAAATTCGAACTTGAATTTTTCATATTACGCGGATTTGAAGACCGAAGTGATCTTGAAGTTTTGAAGCTACGAGATGATGCAATTGGAAGTTCGGAAGTGATGTGTTCGAAATGGGTTTGGAATTATTGAAGATTTTTGGGGTGTGTTTTTATGCGCAACTTTGGGTGATTATTTGGAGTTTGGAATACTCTTAATCATTCGTTGCTGCTCGGATTGTATGGTCTCACATTCTAGAGCCCAAATTGAAGAGTCATGGAAGAATTGAAGACTGAAGTTTGTTTCGACATGTGTCACCTTTGAGGCTCGAACCGCGTAGTGCTTGATTTTGGAAGATTTGAAGTGGGTCATTCATTCCTAACTTTGAGGGGGAGAATGTTGGGGTGCAAAGTTATTCATTCATGACTTTGTAAATGTTTGACTTTTGTAAAACCCACTTGCATGTGGTGCTTTAGCCTTTAGACCCATTTGTTAGTTAGAGTGAGAGAGAGACATGTAAACGCCTCTATATAAGGTGGGTTTGTCCACTTGTAGAGGTGTGCTTTGAGAGATGTAAAAGTGAGTGTATAAGTGTGTGTTAATTATGTAGTCTAGATCTAGATCCTTTTTGTGTAACACCATATACATTCAATATATCTCTTAAACACCCAAATCACCATGTTCAATTGTGCAAGCTTTAATTCTGCATGCCAAACCATGTTCTTATGCCACTACAATATTCTAGACAGTCCAGTAGAACACTAGCAGGCTCGCAACCTGTAGGTGTTGTGAACGACGTGTTCACCCGGTGTACTCTAAACCTTGGTGATCATGCAGACTTG